CCCCCCCCCCCCCCCCCCCAAATAAGAAAGCTTTCTTTTCTCAAAAATATCCATGTACATGCTTGTTGGGATTATTGAACAGCATGTATGGAATACAGGGTATGATGGACACTCCACCTGTAGGAAGCATCATTTCTTTCTTATGAACTTCACATAAGCAGTGAACTAAAATGTAACTATTTCAGTTATAAGAAATAGGAAGCTTGAACATTGTGGCATATACTAGCCACAAAAGGCTAGTATATGTCTTTTGTGGCCCAGACTGTCAAAAATGGCTTCCTGAACCATCCAAGCACCCAAATAAATAATTTAGGAATAACATGGAATTCAGGAATAAAATGGAATGGAAACTAAAATTCTGCAGCCTTCTCACAAGTATCTAGTCTGAGGAAAAGTTAGTAAAATCCAGTGCTTGGACAGTGGTATAAGTGTCTATGAGGATTCTGGTACATCTCACCCTCAGCTTTTATAAACTGGCATTGAAACTTTGCATTTATTTGGGTGCCTGGATGATTCGGGATTTATTTGGGTGCCTGCTGACTCTGAATTGTTGGCAGCTCCTGTTGCTGCTGGTGGGAGTAGTCAGCCACTTGGTGCTTCAGAAAACCTGCTCGTTTTCCCAGGATCCAAACTTCAGGCACTCTTTGTTTTGTGAAACGTGGAGCTACGATTTGGTCTTAAGATAGTGGAAGATGCACACGGCCATGTGTGTGATCTGAAAACAGTTGGGGGACCTTCCAATAAAGGTAGTCATGCATAAACTAGAGGATGGTTAATTGACTATTGACAGCTTTACCAGCAACGGTTTCCATGCATACGTGTCTCTTGGGGAAAGCGGATAGGGATATTGCAAATACCTCGTTTTCAGTCCTAGACCTTCCTCCCCAGCCCTTCAACTAACCTTGATCTTTACGCCCTTGATGGGTTTTTTTCCCTCTCTCTCTCTCTCTCTTTTTTTTTTTTTTTTTTTTCTTCCAGTTACTCTAGATCCAAACATTATAAACAGTGATGTCTTCATCAGTTTTTTCCAAAAATTGCAGCAGGTAAGTTTGAACCTTTCTACAACATTAATTAGTTGCTTGGAACAACTGAATTTATAGTTCACCTCCTTAAACTAAGGCTTCATTTGCCTTTTCTGACTTCCGTTATTTATATTGCCACAATACTGACTTCATTTGTAAAGCACTTTGAGGTCTCGTGATCCAAAGCCCTATGTCAGAGCTAGGTATTTTTTTTTTTTTAATTTTTTTTTTGTCCTTTGGCAAATGTTCTTAGCCATGAAAAGAATCATTTGTTTTGGTTTTCTGTCCTGTTACGATATCTGATGAATCTTTGGCCCTGAATAACTCCCAGAAAGTCTTTGTGCAAGTTCAATGAAAGGATTACACACATTCTTAGGTTTTGCAAGCATAAATGCTTTTTGTTTGTGTCAGTAAATTGGGGTGATAAATGTCCTGATGATGACTGTTGTGAACATGTCAGCTTCTCTTATCTTGTCACTGTGGTGACAGGCCGAATTGGCATGTTTCAAGTGTTGCAACCTGTGCTACTTTTGAAATCTATGTTTACTTGTTCCATACATGTCTATGCATATGAGAGAATGAATATGGAGATTGTCAGTATGAATTACGCCAATGAGTTCAATATAAATATTAAGACTAATAAGCACAAGCATCCCCTCTAAACTGAAACTTTAGCCATGCCTTTGTTCATTTGCTGCAATTGGGAAATTAAGTCACAGTTCCAGAGTAACTTGCTTTATGTTCACTATGACCTTTGGATACTGCAGCAGATAGCTTTTTCAGTAGGGATGAAATTTAAGTTCCTGGAAAGCGCCCAGCAAAGTGAGCGTGACCATAGTCTGAGTTGTAATGTGAAATACTTGAAACAGGAAGTTAGATTGGACAGACTGTTAAAATGATTTGTATGTAATTCTTTTGTGACTTGTTGCTCTTGGTTTCCTGTTTGTTAATGTGTATTTGGCTTAGGAAGGCTGTCTACCTTTATACTAAACATTTTATTGCAACATAGACCTTTTTCTTCTAAAAAAAAAAAAAATTGCTTATTTGCTACTTCTGATCCATCTCTAGAAAAGGTTCTTATGTCAGTGACAATTCTGAATTAAAGGTTTGTTTATGGAAGAACATAACATCTTGCTCTCTGATTCAGAGCCTGTTGAAATCAATGGAATGGCATCCGTTAATTTCCATAGGCTCTGGATCAGCCATACAACAGTTCTGTTAGAGAGAATGTAAATCTTTTATGGGTGAAAATGTATCTTATCCTTCACTCAACTGTTACCTTCTGATGATGGTTAGCTCTTTCTTTCAGAGCTTTGGTGGGGAAAACAAACCTGTATCTAAACTGTAAGTAAGGTAGGACACTTGATCTGGTACTATATTCCTGTGCATGTGTTTGCAGTGTTGAAAGTGGCCCTGCGTGCAGCGGGCATGGATTTACTTTTAAAATGACTCTGAAACTGAAGTTTTAAATTTTCAGCTTTTTGTTGTTTTTGCTTTTGGAGATTTCTGATATGGGAAGTATTCTAATTACACACAGACATGGACTGCAGACATGGATGCTTACTAATGTATGCAGTGAGTGCAGACTGAAGTCTAATTTTCTAGATTTCCCAGTAGATTCTGAAATAAATCCTGAAAGCTTAATGCAAAGTTTGCACACCCTTAACACAAAAACAAACTAACTCTTGTTTTGGGATGAATGTTCCTATACAACATTTAAGCTTCCTGCTTGGCAAAGATGGTAGTTCTACAGCTTCTTTTGTTTACAGTTTCATTTTATAATTGTTACACTTACATAAAGTGATTTCTTCATAATACAAGTAGCAATAGTGCTGTACCTGTTCTTTCATTCTTGAGAAGAGCTGACTTCTGGGGAGGATCACAAAATTATGTAAGGCTGAGTACAGACAGTAAAAAAAACAAACAAAAAAACCCCCAAAAAACCCCAAACCCAAGGCTGAATCGAATCAGTCTTTGCAGCTTAGTTTAAGCTGTATAGATTGAATTGATTAGTAAACAGACATTCACTTTTGATTCTGGAAATACAGCCACATGCCTACAGTGGCTCAGGCCAGAAGCCATGAGGCACTAGAGAATGCCTGATACTATACCCATTCAGGTTTATCTTAAACCAGTGTCGGCCATTTTTAAAGCAGTTTATGTGCACTGAACGTCTTTTGTGTTACAAATTTGAACCAGTTTCGGATCACTTATACCAATTTGTGTAACTTCTGTCCCTAGCCTAAATGACAGAAGTCCATGCTGTCATTGCCTGTACTCAAATTCCTTTACTTGGTGTAGCTAAAGGCTGAACAAAAGCTTGTTTAGATATTACAAAATCTTGTTTAAGCTGAGTGGAGAGAGCTACAGAAAATATTCTAGTAGTACAATCATATCTTAGTAAAAATATCCTGTTTTAAGAGACGAATGACCTTCATCTTTAAAATATCCCTGTAGAGCCATTGACTTTCCATTGCTACATCAATAAGACTTCCCAGGCATCACTTATGGTGTTTTGTATGACACTTAGAAGTGGTAACATATGGCATTGATGTTGCTACTATATTTAAAATTATTTCTGGTTTTATGTGATTCATGATTCTTTATTGCTTTAAAACTTATGTATGACGTTAAAACATATGGGGTAAGGGGAGAAATCAATGATTCAGGAATAAAATGGAATGAAAACTAAAATTCTGCAGCCTTCTCACAAGCATCCAGACTGAGGAGAAGTTAGTAAAATCCAGTGCTTGGACAATGGTGTATGTGTCTGTGGGGAGGCTGGTGCATCTCACCCTCAGCTTTTATAAACTGGCATTGAAATGTTGCATTTGTAAATTTTAATATTCGGGGTATATTAACTTTATGCCATTGCCACACTTCCATTTCTGAAAGGTGCCACTGATAGATTACACAGTCTTTAAATTACCTTGTCCTAGAAACTTCTATCTCCTTATGTATAAATACAACTAGAGCTTTTTCATAAGTTTGACTGAAGCACTGTTTTGTTAAGGGAACCAGCTGCAAAATGTAGGGCTTGCTTGCTGTGGAGTACGTGGGGCCTTGCTTTAAACTGCAGCTATAGGGAGGAAAACATTGTTTTTTTGAAGGAAGGTATGGGATTAAAGATGTTTCCTTCCCACATACGTTCTGCTGTGTTATCACTACTTGAGCTTGTAAGCACAGCTAGAGTTACACACTTACTCCTTACCACTCACTCTGTGTTGCTTGGAGCTGAACCAGACAGAAGTTCCCTGGCTGAGAACTGCGAGAGGCAGGCTGCAGAAGCATAAACCTGGCAGGCAGCAGTGTTATCTGTGGGACCTGATCTCAAAAATTGGTAACTGGCTTCTCAACCTGAGGGAATAGGCACATCAGTAAGGCACAATGGGATCTTCTCAGGTGCAAACCTGCAGCATGATGCTTTGTAGTAGTTGCCTATGTGCATGTTTTTACCCTGCTGCAAATGCAAGGTAGCTTACCCCACTACCACTGAGGGGCAAGCCACCTCTTGCTTATGGTAGGTCACTAGCAAGCACACAGGCAGTTATTGCCATATATCAGACATGCTGTAAACTTGCACATTAGCATGCCTATGCCTGTTGCTTCAGTTTGAGAAATTAATTCTCAAAATAACTTGTTCTGTAAAACTTTAACTCAGGATGTGGGCAGTCGCACAGGTTGTACCAGTCAAGCTTGATTTGGTGTTTAAATCCATGCAGGAGACTGGGCTGTTTTTATTTCTGTTTAAATCAAGCTAATATTGGTTTACCTTGTGCCAGGAAGCCTATCAGTGAAGACAACTTTTATTTGTTTAGTCTGAATTGCTTTAGGAGTGTTCACTGAAGCATTTACACTGATTTTTAATTGTCTTTAAACAGGAGCAACTTCTATGTGAAGGCATGCCCTCTGAGTAGATTTACTGTACTCTAAACAGAAATAAAAATGGCTTACATTTAAATTTAAGAGTGTCCCAGTCTCTTACTCTGTTAATTTGGTCTGTTTTAAAACATCTTCCATTAAATCAGTGCAACTTTCTTGAAAGATACTCCTGGGGTTTGCAAATAGACAGGTAAGAAACCCAGGAGCAAATCAGCCTATTAGACTGCTTTCCTTCTAAATTCACTCCTGATTCACCTCCTTTCCTCTCATGTCCTAAATTCCTAGAGGAAGTGGAGTTTCCTCCCATGTAACTGTACAGGCTCTGATCATCCCTTCTTTCATTGAAAGCATACCAACATTTCAACCCTTGGCTGAATGGAAATTTCTATAGATTTGTGACTAAAAGAACTGAACCAAGTTTGAAGCTGTCAGTCCTCCATTGTATCACTGCTCTGGATCTTGTTGCGAAATGGCAAAAAATGTGGAGGGAGCCTTCTCACCAGTTATCTGGATGGTGCAAATGCTGCACAGGGACTGAGGTTTGTCCACAATTCCCTGACACGATGCTGAGCGTGACTTGTCCTTGTCTGTGCTGATGGTGAAGCATCCTTCACCATCAGCACAGTGACAGCAATCGGTGGCAGCAGCAGGGGATGGCAGTGGCTGAGTCAGCAGCAGTAGCCTGCCATGGAACCGAGATACATTAGTTCAGTCCACTGTTGCTGAAAGATTGTCAACTCCTGCTCTATTCCTTTTACAGTCAGAGCCAACATGGCAAGGTTTTTTAGCAGAGATGGGCCACTATTGGGAAGCTCTGCTTTTCTGTTCTATACTTTGGCCTGTTGCCATCTTCTGTCGCAGAGCATTTGACCTAATCTAAATCATGGGTACCTTAGGGCCAGGCCCTTTAGCCAATGTAGAACTAGGGATAACTGGCACATGGATTAGCACAAAAGCTGGATGTTTCTGCTGAAGCAATCATCAGTGAAACAGTCCTGCTGTGCCCTCTCTCCCCTGCCCCCCCCGCCCCTTGCACAACCCATACAGCCAATGGGGTGAAAAGGTTGGACACCACTGCTGTACAGGATCCTCTGAGCATACATTAGTAACTTTGCTGCCATTGCAGAAACAGGACGTGG